CAACTTTAGCTGAAAAGATAACAAAAATGATCATACATGTATACATGTACATGTACAGTATAACGTGTATAAAAATCAGTCCACTGTATGCATGTACTGTGTACATGTACATGTAGCTAGAAAATTTGGTGCAGCAACATACATGTACATGTACATGTACATGTATTCAGTGAATCATGTATGTATTCATTCATCAAAATTAAATTTTAACAATGATTGATTTGTTGTAGTGTAAAATTTCAGAATCGGCTCATTTTTAAAAATAGCCAAAATTCGAAAAGTTTTTGTCCAAAAATTGTTTCAAACTTTCTACATAGCAAAAGGACGTCAATATGCATCAGAAAATGTAATAAAAAATTGGGGGTGATTTTTAGCCATTTTTTGGAAAAACCATGGGCTGTAGTACAGGGTAATTTGCAGATGCTCAAAGGTTTTTCAAAATTTTAATGGAAAGCATTTTGCCAGAATCCTATACTCAAAAGTTCTATAACTATGCATACATTACATCACATTAGTTATGTAAACTAATATTATGTAAACCATTAGTCCATTACATAACATACATTACATTAAAATTCACATCATACATGTACATGTACCTTGTTTATTGGCCTCACTCAGTGCCTCCTGTAGTGATACTTTGTTCTCATGAGCCACTTGTAGTTCTTGATGTAAAGACTGGATGTATCTCTGAAGCTTCATTTCCTTCTCTGTCGGATATTCTATTAGCTGATCCATCCACCATGTTCTGGTCTTGCTGTATGATGAATACTTTTCTTGATATTTCTTACTAGTGAGATCATTACCATCCAGTACTGACTGTACTATCCACTCACCAGCTTCAATATATACTGAAATAAGGAATAATAATAATTTTAATAAACTACAATGTAAGTTTGTAATCATCCTCAATTTTAATAATTATTATTTTACCTAATTCAATTATCATTGTTAGTCTATTAGTATCAGTGATAAATGCATGCATCGGGTCCTTCTCTCCTCCTCCAACATCTTTCCATTCAAACTCTTCATATCCTCCAACAATTACTAGCCACACACAGTGTGGTGACATTGTGACTGCTGTGAGTGAGTGACAGTATCTACCAGTAACAGATTCAGGTAGAGGAATCTGTAGGCAATGAGAAATACTTGTATTACTGGCATAATTCTGACAAGTACATGTAAATATACATGTACATTACATAATACATTTAAATACATGTATATCCATGTACATGTTCATTTATTCTCAATATAAAACTATGCACAATACATAAACAACATGTACACATACCTTCTTACAACTGAACTGACCAGTAGTGATATTATCAAATAATAAACATTCATTCACTAGTTGATTGTACTTATCCATTCCACCAATCACTACTAGTGCAGGTGAGGTAGAGTCACCATTGATAATAGCACCAGCATAACTATATCTCTCCTTAGTCCAGAGTCCCTCACCAGATATTGATCCTTTTTTAATACTCTCCCAATGCTAAATACATGAAACATAAACATAATACCTTATAAGGTAAAACAAGTGATTTACATGTAAATTAATTTATCATGCTATTTTGAAATAATAGGCTTCTTCAAAACTTTGCTAATCGTCATGGTAGAATCAGTTTTATGGGATATAATAATCTCATGACTGTCATAATAATAATATTTTTTTGAAATACGACCAAAAGGTCACAATTTATAATAAAACACAATAGAATATAAATCAAATAGTAGTAAGGCTAGGATACAGTGTTACTGTGGAGCGTTGCTCCAAAACAGACTGGCAAGCCGGCATAATTACAAAGAAAAAAAACTTACTATTGTATTATGTGTCACATTAAATATGTACACATTATTAGTAGGTCTAGGAAGACCATCATCATTAGTTACTGTTCCTCCTAACATTATTCCTTTATTTTGATTTACTTTGTTGATTGTAAATTGACTAGTTGGTGGACAACACTGTCCACTGACAGATGGAACAGTGAATTGTCCTAAAAATATACTATATATATAACATATCCCAGTTGAGTTTGGGACAAGAAAAACTGGAATAACTTTTTATAGGAATGTGGGATAAGGATGAAACTTTCACAGGTTCGTAATCGCCAAAGTCCATCAAAATCTGTGAAATCTTGGGTCTCTCAGCTCTTGGGAACCCTGAGAACCGGGTTCTCCCTATAACCAATGGCATACCAAAAATGACGTTTTATGACAGTTTATCTACGTTATAGTTTACATAAGCACATGTGGTCGAGAGCTCAAACTGATAATTCTTGTTTTAAAAAGCTAACAGAGCAAGATCTTCTGATAATGATGGCCATTATGAAGACTAGTTGACTCCAGTAGCTGTTGTACTGCTTATCAGCAACAGCAAGACTGTTTTAAGAGTGAAACAACACAGCCGCCATTCTTCTATGAATATCATTAAAATACATCATTGTGAAGTAGCTACATTTTTCAAATTCCATGCAGCTGCTTCCACTTCCGTCCCAAACTGAACTGGCATTTTTTTCGAGGATAATAAATTTCGCAAATGACCCATATCCGGAAGTTTGCGAAATTAATTTTCGCGAATTTTCCCTAATCTGCCATCTTGTACCGTATTAAATTGATTTTCAAGGAATTTAATTTCGCAAATCATGAAAAAATCCACGAAATTCGCAAAATTTGTTATCCTCGAAAAAAACCCGCTATACGGTAGTATACAATAAATATAAATAATTAATTAATAATATCATCAACTGTCACATCTCAAGACATATTCACACAATTGACACTCACCATTAGATAAATTATAAAGTAACTGTTCATTAGTAAGAACACGTCCATCCTTAACCTGATCATATTGAAACTGAAGATGTTTGACAGCTGGTGTAGTACCTATCCCTCCGACCATAAAAAGATAGTCAGTTCCATCAAATTCCAGTGATAGCATTCCACCAAAGCCTTTCTTCATCCTGGACTCATCATTAGGATGCAACTGAGTCCAGCTCATGGTCAGTGTATTTAGTGCATTTAAACTGTTGTAGTAACAATCATCATGACCACAGCCACCAGCATAATAATAAATATTAGAATGAAAGGTGGTACAGGAGTAGCCAGCGACTCCTAATGGAGGAGTGCCTCTTGTTAGGTGAGAGGACCAGCGAGCTGATGAAAAGTAAAATTTCTCAACTGTTGAGGTCAGTTTCCTCTTTTGAGGTGAATCGTGTACTGCAGGTAAATCAGTCTGGGCCCCTGCCCACAGGTAGAGTGACCCTCCTATTACTGGAGCTGAGTGTTCAGCTCTACCTTTGAACTTATAAATACCTGTAAAGGAAAGAAAATAAAAGGAAAAGAATATAAAAGAGAGGGAAAGAAACTAACTTTGTCCTGACATTTCCCCAGCAAAACAAAAGGGTGTAGTAGTCTAAACAACCCTATTGAGCATGATGATGCGCACTAGATAAAACTGCCAAACCTAGTAACCATAGCAACGAGCTGCACCGAGCCCCACCCTTATTTTGTAGAGTAAATGAAAGGGATTGGAAACTACCGTCCCCCCGGCCCCCCCGGTGCCGGTGAGGCAGTTTTCGTCACCCCTGGTTACCTGGTTGGCAACGTCCGTGTTTATCTGCATTCCCCATCTCCTCCACAGTAGTTGTTGTGCAGAAAGGATTTCGAAGGAATATTGTGCGACTATTAGATAGCGCTTACTTATGATATATCTTCTGTTCCACATAGAAAGTTTATGGCTACCTATAGCAGGGTTTTTGTTTCTATAGAGCTATTTTTCGACCAGTTATGGGTACACAAAGTCGGCATCTTTTTTGACAGCTTTTCGCCTCTACAGCTTTCATGCTTTTGCTATTCTAGTGTTGCCTCATATCATTCCATAGGTAATTGAAAGTTCTTTTATATTCTGACAAGCTTTTTAGAGTTTAGCTACAATTGTCTTCATTAGAGGGAGAAAACAGCAATTTTATGGGCAAAAGCGCTATAACACTCAAAATATTAATCTAAATATACCAAATAAATAATAATTAACAGTGCAAAACATTGAACTCCTTGATAGTTGAGTTTCTTTTTCATCAGAGCACTCTTCTTGGAGTTATTATAATTTTAATGGAAAAAATCAAGAATTTTGTGGTCAAAAGGTAACAAACCGCCTAGTCACCAATTTTTTTGCTTAGCAACAATACAATCAAATGGGATTATTGCTACGCCCACGCGGAAGTTTCCAATCCCTTTCATTTACTCTACTATCTGTTTTGTTTTGCAGAAAACCAGCCCCACCCCTTTTTAAAACATGTTTACTCTTCTCTAAAAACTGATTTTGTGAGTTTGCAGGAACACAAAGAGGAGAATGCCTATGGCAAATCATGGCTAGTCTTGAACCCAAAAATGATTATTAAAAAATTAGCAAAATTAGAAAACCAAAGCAGAAAACCAATAATAATAAGCAAAAATAAAATTTAAAATCCAAATTAAGCATCAATATTAATATTAAAATCAAATCTCAGTTCATTCTTAATAGCTTTAATCCAGTCCTCACCCAAAAATTTTGCTGCTTTAGCATAACTGCCTCTTACAGCAACAAATGAGCCTAAGAACTGTTGACAGTGCTCCTCCACTTGAGACACCTCCCTCATAAAACTAAGACTAGTCTTGAACTCTGTTATAAACTTTTCCATGCTACGAGTCTCTCTGACTTCATCACTAATAAGATGAGCTGCATATAACTGACTGGCAAGATCTGAGAGAGATGTCTTAAGAGAATTGAGAGCAGCATAATGAAATACAAGAACATCATTGATCACTTTCTTTACTTTATTGACATCAACAGTAGCTGATGGACCTAATAGAGGTCAAAGGTCAGTATATACACACACAGTATTATCACTTACTAGCTCCTCCAGTGGATGATACTGACGTTGATTCATGTACTACATTAGAGGAGGAGGAGGAGGTAGTAGGATCTGATTAATATTAAATAAATATACAATTTTAAATCAT